CCAATGCTGCTTTTCTTTTCAGCACATATTTGCTTGGGAATAAAAAGGTAAATTCAGCTGACTTGTCCTCAATTTGGGGTTGACCCAGGTTTAGTCAAAAGCAAGGCTGCGACGGGGGATTGCAGCACAAGTCACTTGCACAGAGCCAAGCCTACTCTATGGAGTATGACTAAGAGGCTTATATCAGCTTTCCAGGGAGATCAGTGCTAAAATTCATTGACTTGATGGAAACCAGAGAGCTGCAACTCAGCTCCGCCCATCTGAAGAGTTGCTGGAGAGCTGTTAATCTTTTAAATGGCAATAGTCTATTAAATATTTACATTATGCTAGCACTTCTAGAGTTTTTGGCCCAACAGCTGGAATTAACACAACTTAAATCCTGGCTCTAGTAGCTAAATGGTGCTGTGACAAGGCCATTTAGAACTTATCTGTAACTCTGAGGAGGGCATAAATCGCAATGTGTTTCTTTAATGTCTATCTAGAGGTTATAGCAAGAATATTCAGACCCGCTTGCTCAACAAGAACACAAAAGGGCAGGCCAGAAATGGAAAGCGTCCTGCCTCTCACCATCATCAGTTTTCTCAACCCAAAGTAGCAGCAGCGAGACCAAACAACGTAGTGAAGCCTCAGGTGGTTGCAGGTATCCAGAGAGATGGCATTTACACCACCTTTCATTAGATCAAGGGAGCACGATGGACAAAGTCCTGGAAGAAGACTGTGCAACTCCTGAGCTAGGAGAGGCTGGCCCGGAGGGACGGTCACGGGCACCGACAGCCCATAGGGTCCAGGCAGCTCTCAGGCTTTACGCAAGGCCACGCTAGCGTTGGCATGAAACCAGAGAATCACCCCAATTCATGCTTCAAGCATCAGCTGTCCGCTCCCAAGAACGGCTGTGAAAAATGAGTTTCTTCGCTGCACCACAGCATGCAACAGCTATCAGGGCAACAAAGATCACACCGAACAACCGGAGGGACGACTCCCTTTTAGTGCCAGGCAGCAGATGCTTCCGCTGGCCATTTGTGCAGCGACGGCAACAGAGGTCCTCCTGGTCTCTGCAGGGCTGCCTCTGCTGCTGCTTCACGTCCGTTGGGATGAAACACTACCTGGCACTTTCAGAAAACAAATGAGAATAGCTAAGCCTCCTGGACAGCGCTTGTACTCCTGACGTTAGTTATTAGGGAAGAAGGCCAAGAACAGGAGCTGTTGGATGACACACAACACCTGCATCAGGCATCAGCCCCTCTGGGTCTACCTGCATACAAAGGAGCATTTGGTTTGCTTCAGCAGTTCATCTGCAAGCGCTAACGGTGGAGCAGGGGGGAAACCCCAAGCCTCCACGTACCCCACAACGTGCAAGACTGCTTTGTTTAATTCATCCTAACTCCAGTACTGCCAAAACCCATGTATTTCTTCCTGAACACTCTTCATGTGGAAAATATCCTCTATTTTGAAGAGTGCTCTGGGACTAAATTCGAAATATGCTTCATGTGTGCAGCTACACTGAAATTATTTTAAGTCTAGCCAGCTTCCCAATTCCAATCTCACGGTCCTGCACATATCTAGCAGCAACGCCTGGGAAGCTTGCTAAAATGTCCCCTCCTCCCGCCACCAGATAAGGTTTCCCTGGGAGACTGAAGTTATCTTAATCTGCAGAAAGCCATCAAACTCAATACTTCCCTCCCTTTTATTATTCTCTGAGTCAGTGGTTAAAATTAAGACTTTAGAGGACAAGGCTTTTTGTTTTCCAAGCAGGCTGCTTCCATGGACTGTTAATTACAGCCTATCTATCTCCATAAAAACTGCTGAAGAATGGCTCTTCTGAGCCTATACAGAACTTCTAATTACCCCCCAAAGTATCAGATTGCGACGGTCCCCGGCTGGAAAACCACCTGGGCATGCTCCGCAACAGGCAACCAAACATCCTCTGCTCCTTTGCTGCCCCAAGCAGTGCTCTCAAAGGGTGGCCCGAAAGCTTCAAGATTTCAATTCTTTTTTCTTCCCAGAGTATTTTTTGCAGTGCTGTTGGAAAATGGGGATAACCACCTCTCCCATCTTATGGCTGCTTACTGGAAAAGGTGCTCCTGAAGGGGTGTTTTTAGTTATATGACAAGTAAGAAACGTATTTTAAGCTCAACTGAACAAGATCACCCTATCTCCTTCGCTCACACAAAGGCGTAAACCTCCCCTTAAAGCCTAGAAACATGCAGAAGTCCCTTCTAACTTAAAAAAAGCTTTTACTTTAGTCTAAGCCTGCGATTAACCCTCTGAAACAGTGCTTTCCAGGGTCACCACCGTCCTGCCACCACCACCCATGCTGCTGCAGCTCCTGCAAACCCCGCTGTTGATACCGGTCAGTCCTGCAGAAGTCCGGGGAATCGGACACATCAACAACGCAACTTTACAAGATCCTCCTTGCAGCGAGGGCTACTCGACCCCCGCAGTTTAAACTGCAGCTGACCTCCACACTAATGATGCTCGACAAAGCCATCTGCCCCCAGGGCTGGCGAGCCAGCTGCACGCACACCCAAGGTGATGCTGGCTTCAATTACGGCAGCTCCCAGAGCGCCGGGGAAATGCGTAACAGCAAACCCCATCTGCCAGGTCTCCAAAATGACATCTATCTCGCAAGGACAACGTAAAAACACATCACCTCAAATGCAACGGCCAGAGATCCCTACTCAACCCCATCCCCTCTTGGCCTTCAAGAGGGGGCAAACCTCGCAGCACACCCTGGATGCAAAAAAATGCCAAGAAGAGACCCAGATTGGGATGACGAGTTCCCGACTAGCTCCGCGACTGCAAATCACAGCAGCATAACAAACCACATCTCCAAGAACAGAAGTTACCAGCTTTGTTGCTCCTCTGCTGATAACCTTCCAATGTGAGAATACAGTTTTTAAGAAGTATTTATACTTAATCCCACATACCAAGCCTTGGCTTAAATTTTTTTTTGCCTGGGTATTTCTGAAAAACTGGTATCCATTAATATAGAAAGAACAAAAATACACTCCACAATATGTACCTTCCTACTTAAGGAGCTGACGTTAAATTTGGCATGTGATGAATACACAGCACAGTTCAATACCTGCAGTATTTGGAAAAGATCCACATCCCAGCTGGAACAAAAAAAATTGATGATATGTGCACAGCAAGATAATTTTAGGATATTGGATACTCGTGAAGGAAAGCCGATGCCGCAAGTTCTGGCTATTACTTATTGCCTCGGCGCAGGTCAGAATTAAAAAAAAAAAAACAACCAAGTCTCAGTGCTGCAAATATTCGCCACGTACAACAGTGATTTTTGCAAAACACCACTAATTCTTTGAGAAGCAAAGGCTGTTTTTTTGATTCCACAGTAATTGGAGAGAGGGGGTTCATCTGATTCATCTAGGGGTAAAGCACCCACACCAAGAATTAAGTTTTCATTAGCGCACTTATGGCTGGCTGTTGTGGTAACGTCACACGGGGCGGAGGCTGCAGTACAATTTCAAAAGCCTCTTGTATCCGTTTTCCTGAGCGGGTTTCAAGTCCCTTAATAAAGGATTAGATTATAATTTTAATAGCCTGTTCACAGGCTGTGTGGATTGAAGGGATTTATCTTGTCAAGTTAACAGTCATCTTCCTGTCAGCTGCCTTGCCTACAGCAACCAAAAAAAAAAAAAAAAGGAAAAGGGGGGGGGGGGAGAAAAAAGCAACCACCCCAAACCCTGGGGGAGTCTCAGCACTGGCCAGCCCGCATGTTTTTTGAGCAAGGACGTAACTTGGCTCTCCTCCTGAGAGAGAAAATGCAGGGCAATGCTATAGCGTGGCCCTTCCCCAGGCTCCGTTGCATGACGGGAGAAGGGAGGTGGCCAAGAGAAAAATGCAAAGGATCTACGAGGTGTATTCACCCTTCTCGTCTGCAAACGCTGCAGAAAGGAAACGTGGTTATGAATAGCAGCTGCATTTTTAAGTGGCAAAACAGGACCGAGCTTTGCCCCAAATCCGGCAGCAGGGTGCTCTTTGTGGGAACCATCCCCAGTCCTGTAGCCTAAAAAAATGTTCGTCCCTGGCCAGTCTGAGAGCCTGCCCTTGCGATTCCCCACCTGCAAAAGGATCTCGGCATGGAGGAGGCTTTTCCTTTCAGCCCTCTCCCATTGAATCCAGGGAATGCAGCGAGCACGGAGCCAATCACAGCAGAAAGGATGGATTAACTAAAGAGCTGGGCTGGGTTGCTAAGAGAGGCACCTTTTCATGGCAGGGAGGCCCGTTTCAACAATGCTGGTACAGAGAAGCCGCATCCAGCATCCGTGCGGGGCCCTGCACGCACGCAGAAAGAGCCGCGGGAGAAACACACGGCTCATCGGGAACAAGAAAATACAGCAGCAAAGGAGATAAAAGCTCTGCAAGTCACACAGAGACACCCTCCCCCCAAATAAAACCGCCTCTGTTCAGAACAAAAGCGCCACCGATGAAGCTCTTGAAAGCTCTGTTTTTATCTACTACGCTTCTCATTATCTTTAATTATTATGTGTCACGGGAAAGCGGCTGCCCACCTGAAAGAGGGAAAACGAGAGACCTGGTAACTATTTCTGGGCTGCGCAACCCCTCCCCTGTCTTTAGAAAGTGCCTTCACCACCACCGCCTCCCCCCTTCTGGCTTTTTACTGCTTTCTTTTTCCACGTATGTGTGGCCGCAGCCGTTACTAATAAACTTGAAATGATTTTTCATGACGGAGGCTTCCAAAGGACTAAGGGGTTTTGTTTCAAATCATTCCCAGATCAGCTGCGGAGAGCCTGAGCAAGAACAGGCATCGGCTGTCTCCGGCGTGTTCCTCCATGCAGCAGGAAGCAGGGGATAAAAGCAGGCTGTGTTGTAACTGGAACAGGGCATCCGCAGTGCTGCAGGAGAAGGGGGGCCAGGACGGGGACGAAGCACACGCTGGCGTCTAAGAAATGCAGTTATTTTAGCAACAGGCATTCCATATTGATGGCTTTCTGTGAATGCCGCGGATTAACCGTATGCTTATGATTAAGGCAGTTTATAGCATGTTTAAAAAAAAAAAAACAAACCACCACCACCCTAAATTTAGGGGTGCTTCCCCCCCTCCAAATCCTAAAGGCAGCGCTGTGTACTTCATGCATTTCTTTAATGCATTTGAAGTTTTACAGAGTCTTCACTCAACATCTTCTGTTTTATAATGCTAGAAGGAGGGATAATTGCAAACACCTTCTAATGATTAGCCTTCTGCTTTGAACTTTAATGGTGGGCTTTTGGGAGTGTTTTAAGCATTTACTGAAAACATCTTAAACTTTAAAGCTAAAAACGCCGCTATGCAATATTATTGATAGTCCAAAGATGAGTATTAAATTAAAAATAATACATACAAGAGCAGAACCTGGTTTACCAAAGCAGTCCGAATGCATTAGTCAAATTGCATCACGAGATTTGTACAAACCGGCTAAAATGCACACATCAGCCTCAGGTTTGCTACAGATATTTAGAAATCAGGGAAAACACAGCCCCCGAGTCCCAGAGCCTGCTGTCTGCAGAGCCAGTTCTCACCGCTCCTTTCCGAGCTTTGTCTCTGGCAATATTGCATCAGCCCCTCCTGCAGCCAGCAACGTCTCGGTGAGCCGAGCCAAAGCCAGGACGGGCTGCAGAATAGGCACACGAGGACTTTTGGCCAAGCAGCTTACTGACAAGAGCTCCTGGCCCGCGTTCATATCCTACAGGGGTGCTGGGCACTGATTAGCTGTAGAAGAAATGCAGTGATTAAGTGATTACTGCCTGCCACCCTGGAAGCTGCTGACCGCAGCCCGATTGCAGGCTTGTCTCTGAGCCAGCAAATATTGCACCAATACTTTTAAATTAGACTCAAGTCTGATTACAGCAGAGGAACAAGATTCTAACTAACCTTTTATTATGGCAAATTTTGAAGCGTCTGCTTTACTCTCTCAAGATCATTTGAGACAAAGACTAACAGATGCTGCAGTTCCTAGAGGACTGTCTTTAATTTGTTTTTAACCCAAGCTAATGAATAGGTTTACTCATGCTTTCGCAAGAATCATTTCAGACTCAGAAAACGTTAAACATTTGGAAAAGAACAAAGGTTCCCCATTTTAAAGAAACCTGAATTTTGCTGTAAATAATGGGGAGTTAGACCCAAAACAGGTCCTTCACAAAGATATGAAATCATCCAGGTCTGACAGAAAGCTGAAGTCTATGTCCGTGAAACACAAATGGACAAGACCATGGTACTGTGACCATGCCACTGGTCTGCTGCGAAGACTGTTCTAGTTGAGGCTGTATATGAATGCATCAGAAATCAGAACAAAAACCATCCTGTCACCCTCTATAAGCCAAGCTTTGGTGCCACACGTGTGCCCTCCCCATTTTGCAGCAAAGCCTAATCCACGGAGAGGAGCACCGGCTCCTAAGCGATGGGCTGCTAATTCCACAGGTGAGGAGATGACCTGGTCTTGTCTTCTCAGTACTTGCACGCAGGCAGAGCACGGCTGCAAACACGCACAAGCCCACAACTTCCCATACGCGCAGTACCAGCCATCTACTGACTTCAACAGAATAAAAGAAATTGAGTCAAAAGAGGAAACGGAGGAGTTGAGAAAGGCACAAGAAGATGCCAACGCAGCACCCGGCAGAGCCGGGATGAGGTAATCCCTTGGATAGACATCGTCCCCGACAAAGGACAAGACACTACCGATACAACAGCCTTTTGCTCTTTCGTATCCCTATGTCAAGACTCAAATTCGCTCCCCCTCTTCACACCTACCACGTTAACTCCTGTTTACGTCCCATACAAGAGCGCAGATCACCCAGGTGGGTCTGGGTTGACGCCACTGAGCCCTTTACGAAGGGGGACAATGCGCACAGGTATCTGTCATTTCAGTCTTAGAAGCCAACAATTGAGTTTCACGTTATTCTTTGCACCACAGTGAGGACAGTCACCCAGCTTCGCCTCCCCAGCCCACCAGTGCGTCGTCATCCCCCCCCC